ACTAAAACAAGCACCCAAGCAATGGCATGCGAAATTTTACCAAACAATGTGTCAAATGGCTTTAAGATTAATGAATGTGATAAATGTGTTTACATTAAGAACATTCCAAATCATATAGTCATTGTTTGTTTATATGTTGATGATATGCTAATAATGAGCAAAGACATTGCCGACATTCAAGCTACTAAGCGTATGCATGCTAGTAAGTTTGATATGAAAGACTTAGGAGGTGCCGATGTAATTCTAGGAATTAAAATCCAGAGGACTTCTCAGGGTCTAGCTTTGTCTCAATCACATTACGTGAAAATGGTACTTGAAAAATTCAAACACTTGGAATTTAGAAGTGCGAGAACTCCAATTGACTTAAATCATCATCTTATAAAGAATAAAGGTGAAAGTACGTCTCAATTGGAGTATGCTCGTGTGTTGGAAAGCTTAATGTACATCATGAACTGTACACGACCTGATATAGCTTGTGCAATAAGTAAACTTAGCCGATTCACAAATAATCCAAACAAACATCACTGGGTGGCAATGAAACGAGTTCTGGGATATTTGGAATATACCCAAGACTACGCTTTGCACTACAATAAATATCCTGCGGTTATCGAAGGATATAGTGATGCAAATTGGATAACCGGCTCAACAGAAACAAAGTCCACAAGTGGATATGTTTTTACTGTTGGTGGAGGAGCAGTATCTTGGAAGTCTTCCAAATAAACGTGCATCGCTCGCTCTACAATGGAATCAGAGTTCATAGCTTTGGATAAAGCCGGTGAAGAAGCTGAATGGCTTCAAAATTTCTTAGAAGACATTCCGTTCTGGACAAAACCTTTGGCTCCTATTTGCATACATTGCGATAGTGAGGCTGCAATAGGACGGGCAGGGAGCGTTATGTATAACGGAAAGTCTCGTCATATACGACGAAGACATAACACCGTTAGACAACTACTTTCTAGTGGAATTATCACTATTAGTTATGTAAGATCAAAGGATAATGTGGCGGATCCGCTTACAAAAGGCTTAACTAGAGAGGGAGTTGAGAAATCATCTAAGGGAATGGGACTATGGCCGAGGACAAGTCAACATGGCGGTAACTCTACCTAGAATTTTGGATGTTCCGAGATCTAGGTTCAAGGAGCTCAAACAAAGTTGTGATTGACCGGTTCAACATTGTCAAAGTAAAATCTTTGGTCCCTTCTCGTGATGAAGACAATGTTCAGTAACAAGGATAGAACTTTACACGTTCTTTAATGATTACCTAAGTTTGATGTGGTATTTATCAAATAGTGTCAATCTAAAGGATTACACGTTTAGGAATCACCTATGTAAGTGTGAAGTGGAAGCCGCTTCAATGAGAATTCTGTAAGGCCAATTCTCTACGCACTTATGAAACCAGGCGGTGTTCATGGTTGAAACGAACACAACAATGAGAACCAAAAGACGATTAAGGGTTGGTTGTGTGACATATGGTTGTCTAGGTATACACTAAAGTTCGACGGTTCAAAGATATCAAATCTACCGATTGACCGAGTATATCCGACATATGTTCACTACGGAAAGTTCAAAGGGAAACCTACTTATCCAGATGCAATTAATCCTTACTTGCAAATCACACAGCTTTCATCTATGATCATTCTTGTTACAGCCATTCCCATTCATGTGGGGGATTGTTGGAATTTAAAGCATTGGGCTTCAAAGACTTTAAGCATTGGGCTTTAAAGTCTAAGAGTGTGAATTGAAAATGGTGGGAAACAAAATGGAGGGAAATGAAAATTTGAATGAAGTGAGCTTTTGTCTTGAACTTTGTCCCTCATTGGTGAGGGACAACTACATTTGTGTGTATATATATAGACTCACTTCTTAAAGCTCTTAAAAGGAGTTGAAGAGAATGAACCCTCGCGCCGTCGTCGTTGCTCGCTCGGCTCGGCTTCGGCTTTGGATTTGGATTTGAATTTGTCAAATGATCGATCGATAAGATACTTGGATCATGCCAAAAGAAAGAAGGATTAGATTTTTATTTTTACTTGTCACTTTACGCATATCAAGAGAAGACAAATATTTTTTTCTGTTATACCCACCGTATTTATTACCATTACAAATCATTTTCTCAAACGGAAAATATATTTGGCCAAACCAAGAATGGCCCAAACGTCCCAAATGAGGTTATAATGGTAACTTCGCACGGATTTTGAGGGCATAATAGATATTTGCGCATTTTCGTTTTTCATGTATACCCTTTGGCAGATTTTTCATTTTAAATTAATTTTTTTCAACAATTCTCTCTCACTAATTTAATTGTCTTACCTTCCCAAGATGCATGCTTCATTAATTTCTATAAAGCACATATACATATACTATACTAATTAAATGAAATACACTAAAGTTTACATATACTATACCAATTAATCGAAATACACTAAAATATATAGATAATATATTAGAGAAAATACGTTTAAAAATTAGAAAAGATACGTATAAAAATTAAACTACTAAAGTGGTCACTTTCTAACCCTAAACACTTAATATATTTGGCCGAACCTAAAAAGCTTTTCCAGCCCCCTTTTTCTATCTTTGTTTTCTCCTTCTTCACCTCTTATCTTTCTTAGGGTTAGATTAAGAAATGGACCACGGGAAGAGGAATAATGATTCGAAAATTTATGTAGTGTTTCGTGGTAAGAGGCTTGGATTGTACAACTCTTGGCATCGGTGTGCTCCTATGATTATTGGTGTCAAGGACAGCATCTTCAAGGCCTTCAAAACGTATGATGAAGCCATAGCAGCTTTTAATGAGTTTACAAATGGATCTCAAGCTGATAATATATCGGCATCGAAGGTGTATGTGGTATTTCGTGGTAAAAAGCCAGGATTATACAACTTTTGGTGTGAGTGTGCTCCCTTGGTTATAGGTTTCAAAGGAAGCATCTTCAAGTCTTACAAATCTTATGATGAAGCAGTAGCAGCATTCAATGAATTCCAAAAAGAAAATGTTTACAGTGAAGAACAATCTTCAAGTTCGTGTGTTGATGAAAGTGCTATGTCATCTGTGTTGTTAGCTGGAATGTTTGTAGGGATGAAAATTTCAAAAAATTGTTCAGTTTGATTATTGTTTATTTTGGTTATTATCAGTTTGATTGTTTAGTTTGATGTGTTACTGGTTGCCGCATTCAATCTCTATAGAATAGATGCCAAAGCCTTTGTCTTTTGTACTCCATGTTGGAATGAAATAAGAATATAATTTTTTTTTAAAAATATTTTGAAATGAACTGAATGTTTTAATTTGTCTATATTGCTGGAACCTTGTAAGTGCCAAAGTGTTATCATTTTGAACTTGTTTTAATCCCTATTACATTGATTCATAAGCACTCAACTATCTTCAAGTACTCATCAACTATCTCCATGAGTTCAGTATGTGCTATATTTTGCATCTTGAAGTACTAAACTATCTTCATAATTATTGACAATACATTTTCCTATTTGTCCAGTATTGTTGTCATAAGTTGAATGTGCTATATTAATTTAGAAAATAAATTGACCAATTTTAGAGTACTTAATTAATCTTTACAAATGTTATTATTAGTACTTTCATTTCATTAGGCATCAAACGAACAGTTGGAATATTGAAGACAATAGGACTGTTTTGTTAACTTTAATCAAACGATCATTATGCCTCGCTGTTTTTAGAAGGGTTTTCTATACCCTTTTGTTGTATCATCAAACTCTATTCTTGCTAATACAAGACCCCAGGTAATCTGGAAAAAGTTCATAAAAAAATATAAAATATAAAAAAGATTCAAAACATAATAATAATAATAATAATTTCCTTCATTAATACGACATTGGGTGATAACATCACCAATACATAACTTGAAAAATAAAAACATCAACATAGGGGCCGGGGTAGAAAACTTCATAGACGAACAAACACATAATAAAAAAGAAATGAAATAAATCTTCATAATGCATGGACTACTCAATATGCTGGTTCACTGAAAGAGACTTTGAGGTCTTGGAGGCGGACTCGGTATCACTAGTGATAACAATGATAGAATTGCTCTTAGCTCCACTATGGACGGATGGTGTGGGCATATCATCAAGCATAGTATAGAGCGAAGTAAGGGGATGCTCTTCCAACATGACACTCTTGAGGTAATCAATGCTACTATCACGAACCACCCTCTCAATCAACTCTGTAACCTCACGCTTCAGCTTGGTGTAATCACGCTTCAGATCTTGGTACAAGATGTTATGACTCACAGGTGAGCCATGCAGCGGTTGTCAACATGTTCTTGTCGGGGTC